AAATATTATAAGTTGAGTTTTGGAAGCGTTGGGAGAAATCTTCCATTTTTGTAAATAAGAAGAGAAAATATCTAAGCTTTTCTGCAGTCTGCTGCAAATAACACGAAGACTTTTTCCTTTAGCGGAAATGCCTTTGTCATCAGCGAACAAAGATTTGTGGCAACCCTGAGGCAAATCAGGGAGGTCCGAAGTGAAAATGTTATACAATATAGGCCCAAGAATGCTACCCTGAGGAACTCCTGCTCTAACAGGTAGTCGATTAGATTTGGAATTTTGATAATTTACCTGCAGAGTTCTGTCAGTTAAATAATTTTGAACTAATTTCATAATATAAAGTGGAATATTAAACTTTTTCAATTTAGCAATCAAACCTTCATGCCAAACACTGTCGAATGCTTTTTCTATGTCTAGAAGAGCAACCTTCAGATTTGTTTGAACGAATTAAATTGGTAACTCTTAAGAGTTGATGAGTAGTTGAATGCCCATGGCGAAATCCAAACTGCTCATCTGCAAAAATTGAGTTCGTATTGATTAGACCTGTTCATTTTAATTGAAATGTTCGGAATGTAACGGGTCAATCGTGATTACTGTTCGTCATGTTAATTTGAACTTTTGTGCAAATTTTCAGCAAAATCGGTGTTGATTTAGAGGTGCTTCAGGTTAATTTTATGTTTTTAAGGTAATTTACGGCTTACAATATTTGTATCTCGAGACTGAAATAACGAAAACTGCTGTAACAACTTTCATAGCAAAGTTTAATGTGTCATGTATCAACTTTGTGACCAAAGGTTGATTATTAGAAGTGATTTTATTGAAGTTTGACTTAGTTTCATGCTCGAAGATATCTTAAAAAGTGAAGAATTTTAAAGTATTTGTTCTACTAATTTTCCACCCGTATGATATAAAAATGTGTAGTGTACGACATAATGTTCCTCATATTGTTCTAGAAGTTTCGTTCAAACATAGTTTTCGTGTATATTTCATAGATTGAGAAATAAAAATCAGAAAAGAGGCCGTTTTAGCTAAAATTCACAAGACAACAGAACCAATAAAAGTCAATTAGATTGACAGAACATAGTTGCATTGCTTTTCAATGACGACCGATGACTGTTTCATTGATATATGATTTTTTCATAAATATGAATCCTCAGTAGACGTGTTTTTTTTTTTATCAAAGGCAAGTGTCACTCGAACCATAACAGCAATTTATAAATAACGAATAAAAAATTCCATTTTAGGGGCAGTAATGCTTCCTAAGTCAAAATTGTCAAAATTTCCGTTAGAATTACTTTGGTTAGTATTTTGATTTCTACCCGCTGCAATAGCAGCATAGGTAGCTCCATTAACTCGCTGAACATTGTTAGCAGCGAGGGGAGTAGGTACAGATGAAAAATTTGAAGCAGGGGTGATATTTGTACCTACAGGTACGAATGTAGAATTTGTTCCTCGCTGACCGTTGTTAACAGCAGAGGAATTTGTACCTGGTCGGAAACGTGGAGCGTTTCCTACCTGACGGTTAGAACGAGATTGTAGGATCGCTTTGCGAGTCTTACATTCCCAAAAATTGGATTTGTGGTTTTCACCACAATTTGAACATTTAAATTTCTTAGGATCTTCCTTCCAGTCGTCCTTTGCGTGAGAGGAATCACCACAATTCATGCATTTAGCTGGCATGTAGCAATTTTTAGTTCCGTGACCCCATCCCTGGCACTTACGGCACTGAGTGAGATTTTGGAAATTTCCTCCAGTCTTCCTGAAGTGTTCCCACTTCACTCGGACATGGAGCATAAGGCTAGCTTTTTCTAAGGCCTTAAGGTTGTTTAGTTCACTAGACTTGAAGTGAACTAAATAAAAATCATTAGAAATCCCGTTGCGCGAATCGCCAGGACGGGATTTCATTTTCATTTTGATTACTTGGAGTGGCACAACTCCAAGTAATTTTGCCAGTTCATCTTTGATCTGATCCAGGGATTCACCACTGGGCAGTCCTTTCATGACAACCTTGAACACACGTTCAGTTTTGGTGTCGTAAGTAAAAAATTTGTGCTTCTTCTCAGTAAGATACTTGAGAAGACATTTAAATCCGTCCAAGGTTTCAGCCAATACACGGCATTCACCCCGACGTCCAATTTGTAGAGAAAACTTAACTTTCACGAAGTTCAAAAGTTCCATGCGAAGAGCATGGAAATCGGAAGTGGTTATCACAATAGGGGGAATCTTTTCCTTCTTGGCATTAAGCCGGGAAAGTTTACTAGAATTTTTCTTGGATGATGGATCATTCTCATCATCCGTGAGCAAATCAAATTGATTACTCAAATTAATTTCTTCAGAAGGGGGGTCAAGAGTTTGCCCCTTTCTTTTGCGTTTAGGCGCCATGGCGGCAGTAAATTTTTCTCCAAATCGACTTCCAAGCAGATTACTATAAGAATCTGAAGGATCGAAGAGGAATTTTCCAAATCGATATCCAAGAAGGATTACCTCGGGTAGGGTCCAAACAAGGATCGAAAAGGAATAAGAGTTGAACAAGGTAGAAAATTTTTTTACAGGTTGAGCACTGAAAAGTGCTGTTTAAATTTGTTGTAGCTTTAGGTAGTAGTAACACTTCCTTCAGCAAAAAGCAAATAGATCCGCACGGCAAGAGAGCACGATGCGTCAAGTAGTAACCTGGATGTTACTATTTTGTCTGTGTTACTATGATTGATAGCGTTGTATGAAGGAAACTGCATCCATCTCGATTTAAATCTACAAAAAAAGACTTACTTAATCGCTTATAGTTTCCAGCAAGTTCATAATCCACAGTTCGAAAAAGTAGTGAAAATTTTTGATCAATATCTATGCACATAGATGGAGCGTCACATATCATACATGTTACATTATAAATCGTGTAATGTTCTGAAGAACAAGAACTATAAGTATTCAGAATAAAAATCTACTCCTAACTCTTTACCGCTCTTACATTTACGCGAAGGCGCCCCACTGCAGACGAGCAGACGCACCAATGTACTCGAAAGTTAAATGTTGTCAGACGCAAATAGGTGTGATATCTATTAAGAGACGAATCCTGATGAATGTGGGCGTCTTAGTGGAATACCTGTATAATGAGAGAGAGAAGGATTAGTATTTTCCATTTAATTCCACTACTTTATTTGCTTATCCTTGACAGATACGCGTATTTCGTCTACAATGTGCAGACTTCTTCAAGTCGAGTATTAGTACAAGACACTGAAGAAGTCTGCACATTGTAGACGAAATACGCGTATCTGTCAAGGATAAGCAAATAAAGTAGTGGAATTAAATGGAAAATACTAATCCTTCTCTCTCTCATTATATTAAGAGACGCTCATTCCCATTTGGAGGATAAATTTTGCCACAACTAACAACGTCTAGCGTCTACGGATATGGATTTTGAACAACCCTCAGGATCTCAGTTCAACTCAGGATTGTGCCAACATCTAGTGGAAGCTGAATTTATATTAGAATCACCGAAATACCCTTTTATTTGAGTCATATTTGCTCAATATGCAAAAATGCAACATCAAGCTTGCAAATCTATTTAAAATTTGAAATGAACAACCATCCTCAAACTACACCGAGTAACTAAGTTGTTTGAAGCTAGCGAAGTCAGCTATACTTATTAATAAGTTTCTGTGATTAAGAAATATTTCTCTGAATTTGAATGAAATTCTCTGAGATTCTCTGATTTTCCAGGTCCAAAAATGAATTCCCTGATATTTCTTGGTTTGTCCAGGTAGTTGGCACCCTAGGAATCATGAATAGATTATAGATGATCACCATTTAAATTCATAATTTTAACCATCGCGTACAATCTTCCCTCTTTTAATTATGAGCCATACATGGTATGAACTACACAATTGTGTACAAGCTTGTATGAAATATTGCTGATTTATGCGATATTTTGCTTAATTTTACATTAAATATCAAGTAAATGTAAGCAAATTCTAAACAGATAAAAATTCTGAATTTTAATTATGATGTAAACATTTATTCACGTAAACTTGTATTTCATCTCACGCAACCGAGCAACTTGTAAACAATGTTGTTTACAAAGATGGGATTTTGTATACAATATTTGCTACATTGCGTGAAATGTGTCAGAACTTTACATGATATATATTATAAACGTATATGATATGTGACGCTCCATTTATGTGCATCAAATTGAACAGAAATTTATTCTACTTTTTGGAACTGTGTAGCGTTAACAACGTGTGCGCAATATATTGCAGACATGTACATAAATTTTTCAAACGGTGCAGAGCTCTACATCGGTTTAAATGACTTCAAGTAATTGAGAAGGTTCCGTAACAAAGACTTTTTCCCAGGCATTTTAAGAACATGAGCTAATAAATAAATTGTTAAATCTATAAAATATTGCACTATGAAGGGAACCGCTATTCTAAGCTGAAATGATTTGATTATTTTTTCTACTTCATCATCATCGAGTCATTATCACCAGTCATCATGGAGCAAAGTGGTTCACATTTAAGGCCAATATATAGAGATCCTGACCATAATTCCGATTTCTGTTCTCAGCAATGATGTGCAGGTGAACAAGTTGAAGACCTAGAACCAATTAATAGTAAAATTAACAAATTTTACTATCTTCGATTTGATGATCCTTATAACGTGGAAGTTTCCTCAGGAGGTGCTCAAGCCCTCCAAACGACTGAGACTATCTCAAAATTAAGCTGAATTTCATTCATTAAAAAAAAACTGATAATGAGCTATAACATATAAGCCACTTTTGTTTTAAATGGGTGACATTTAAAACATCAATGGATACTCTATTTTAGCAATGCTCCTGAGTCGATTCACAACCCTCGCATAGCTTATCACATCGTTCATCTCAACGCGGGGACCTTCTTTCTACTTTAGCTTCAATCCAATTATCTGATGCCACTTTTCTGATTAAGTAACACGTTAAAAGTGCCTGACGAGCTAGCAGTTGCAAACCATTAAGATAGTTGAAAACTACTTACAATACAGGTCCCAAAATTAGCTGCACAGCCTTGACGATTGAACTATCGAAAACCCTTCACCGTATCCTGCTTTTAGTATAATAAATTCCAATTCACTTTCACGTTAAACTAAAACTGACGTAATGATCTGGATCAGACCAAGTTCACTAGGCTGTTCGATGCAGCTCTGTCACACATAATATTCGCAAATTGTTCCACTTTTATGCTCACGGAAGGTGCTCCTTGGTATGGCATAATGGTGTCGAAACTGGTTTTTTTTTTTATTTCTCTCGATGTCACATTTTTATCACACACTGCTTGTTTTCGCAACAGTTGTCAGCGTGCAGCATTCAATTTCACATTCACATAACCGAAATAATCTCACCGCACTCGATGAAAGAGATCAAAGGGACTGACCCGGGAAGCGCACCCATCTGACATGTTTCCATATTTATTCACAAATCCCATTTCACGCACTTCGAATTGGCTCAAATATGTCAGTTTGAGCTGCAATCTTCTTTCTTCCAAAACAATAAATCGGCCACGTGAAGAGACCCCCATGCGATCGTTGTTGACTTTGACCGTTGAAATTATCAACAATGCCACGTTCAGCGTTTATTTACAATCGCGCCGCATTATACTAACACTCGACGAAACACAAACACCAACTATCGAACTAAAATCAACTCCGGAGCACACGGTTATGTCCTGTCCCGTCTACTCGTCCTAAGTAACTGAAAACATTTCTCTCGGGTGTTCGCGACTAGAGCGACCGGTCTGCGTCGGAACCTAGTGATGACTAAACATACAACAACTACTGCTGAACGAGTGACGCCGCGTCGACAAGGGGTGGCGTTGTTTACTAAATCCGTTACGCCTCTCCCCCAAGGGGAGACCATCATCCGCGTAAGATCCGCGTGCTTTCGCCGACGAGGGAACAGAGCATGCTGTCAACGGTAAGAGAGTGATAACTAGATTCTCTCGTCAATGAGACCGGCGGCGGCGACCGGGTGAAGTTTGCTCTGAGCGCGAGAAAACCATAGGTACCTATCGACAGTTTTGATTCATCGAGTGAATTTCTACTGGGAGAGCTATTTCGAACCAATGAATGCGTTTATGCCCGCTGTACTTGCTTGATGCTGCTGATGTACCATTGTAGATTAATCACACCATGCCATTTTCCATACGATGGCTGGAATTTCTTCGAAGTTAGCATGGATGTTTAAATAAAACAATGTTCTATACATCAGACAAAACAGCAACGTCAATTGTTTTCGTTTGAGACGACCAAAAGTGCTTCTATTGAATAAAATAGTCTTAGATACCAAAATTAATTAAGTGGAACGAAATGAAAGATAACTTTTTTTGTTGTTTTATTTAAGCATTCCGCGAAACAACACAATTTCATTGCTTCTATTCTTTGTTTTTCAAATTAATACCCTGTTCACACTACAACCTATGTTACTCGTTATAGTCTATCTTGATATCAGAATCTGGAAATAAAATGTATGACGTTTGATGTCAAGATGCTGTATATCAAGTATTAGAGGCTGTAGTGTGAACGGGGTTTAACGTCATTTCAAAGTTCTATGAAAAGTTATGCAAAGTAGAATACAGTAGAAGATCGACGCGTAGTTTCCTTTAGGATGGGTTTGACTTACGGAATACTGAAATTATTGGTACAATGTCAAATAAATTATACTAACAATATAGTTCACTCTTCGCTATTCCATATCTCACGCAAGGGACAGAAACTTCACACTCAACACATGATCTATCATCAGAAAAGGCAAACAATATGCATTTGATTCAGAGCCGTCTTAACAACCCTTGGGGCCTTGGTTTATTTTTATTGCCCCCCCCCCCTGGATTTGATATCAATTTTCAAATTCAAGCACACATGAAATTAAAACAGGTCCTTGCGTCAATCTTCATTCGCATATTTTTTTCTAACCTGCTATTATTCTAAAGCACATTTAAATGGAATAAACTAAATCTGTTTACGATTCCTCATACTTGCGAATTTGTTAATAGAAGTGTTGATATCTATTTTCACCAATATTTTGCACTCAATTAATGATCAGTAACCAATTAAATCTGGTTTATAGCATCCTTCAATTTATTTTTCACTCAATATGATGGTTAGGATATCAATTCAGCTTATCGTTTACCAAACCGAACCCTGCTGCAAACCTAACCCTATTACCCAATACCCCAGTGATTCCTCGTGGAAGTGCAGAGGTGTTCTCGGCTTCCATTAAAGCGAGTGTCACGTCAACACATTCCTACCCCTTCCTTTCTTGACCTGTGTTCGGGCGCGGCCGGCGCTGGTATTGCCTAGTTTGAGATAACCAGTTTTTACACATTGAGGATGATTGCTAGTCCCAAGAATCGTCTATTGGTTCTTTGTGTAATTACAGCTGGTCTGGCAATAACAGAGTAGCAACCGTGGGCGGTCAATCATGCTCATGCTCCTTCAATTTATTTTTCACTCATTTTAATTTATCTTGGACAGTTGGTGATCATCATGACAGCCATGATTTGGATTCATAGAATGCCTTAAAACCTTGATAAAACTTCCAATACTACTTTAGTTCAGTTCATATGTCAATAATTAGTTTGTTCATTCTAATGTCATTCCGAGGGGTGAATGCTGGAATGCTTTTTGAATAAGTCATATGTAACAAACGTAAACAAATTGACATTTTGATGCTACCAGACACTACTCTGCTTACTGTTCCTAAAGGCAAAATTTGGGCCCTTATTTCTGTTTAATTTTCTCATGAAAAAAAAACAATTTGTCGTTCGGTAAAAAATCAGGCATTTTAATTAATTAGTTTGAAAGCTTCAAAACAAGGAAAGCTTCAAGGCAATGGCAAGACTCGATTATTTAAACAAAACTGACAGTGTTTTGAAATTAAAATTTAGTGAAACAGTTTTTAATTGAGGGTCAACGTTTTACCGAACGTTCAACTGTTGTAAGTAGTCGGTAATAATTTTTAAGTGTGTACGATTTCCGTAAGATGTTACTAATTGTACAACATTTTTAGACCACTAAAATGCGGACGATCGAATGTAACACCACGATACGCAAAAGGTCGTATAATATTTATTGGCTAATAATCGTATCTTTTTTTTAACCATAAAAGCTTACTCACACAGTTCGAAAAAGAAGTGTAAATTTCTGTTACTATGATGCACATGACTGTAGCGCCATTTACCAGGCAAGATCACATTTTAAATCCTGTAAATTTATGAGACATATCATGTATATCATTGTATGCAACCGTCCATCATTGTAAGCAAAGTTTCTTGCAAGTTGCTGGTTTACGTGAAAAGGAAGATTATTGAGAAGGATTTGAATGATGTATCTGTGCTGGGGCCCCTCCAAATTGGAGGCCCTGGCTGTAGCCATCCATTGCCCTACCGTTAATACGGCACTGATTTAATTGGGTGAGTCAGTTGCAAATATTACAAATGAAAAAATAAGTTGTACTTTAATTACAATCAGGGAAAAGAGTTGTACAAATTGCTTGAGTCTGTAGATACTTATGAGAACACGAATATAATTCTTTAAATAACTTTTGTTTTAACCCCCTGTTGTGGCTTTGAAGCATATACCGTAAGGTTTTTAGAATACAATAGTTGCTTTTTTTATGCAAAGGCGCACTTATTGGCCAAACATTGTGTCTCCGTTGATCATTGTTCTTATGTTGGTAATATAAATGTAACCATATTGTCAATATAAAATATAATGCTAATGCTGTATTTATTGATGAGTAATCAATAATAATCCTTACGGTGTTCGTCTTAAACCGATTTCCCCTACGTGACAACTAAAAACACAAAGCATAATGATCAATTAACCCCCGGATTACGGAGCATACACGAAGTTCAAAATGGGAGACTCTAAGTATAAATGCAATAAACCATGTACGACTGATGCTACATACGAAACTTTTGCTCCCTAATGCTCAAGCGGATCCAAATCGGGTCCTAATTAGCCTAACAAAATTTGAACTTGTCTAGTTAGAAACAGACAGTGCACAAACCTTTTGAAGTGTGTATGGCAATTACTATGGGAAAAGCAAATTTTTGATTTATATCTTTCAAATCACCATATTTATTTAAACAATATTGATACCTGTGCTTGTATGAAATTTTCTCAGCTACAGTACACAACTCATAGATGCGAAACCTAAATACGCTGACTACCGTTGGCACGCTTGCAAAAATTCTCCACTGAGAATATGTTACATGCTCCTCCCCTTAAAAAAAAATCGACCCTACACTCATTATCAAGACCTAGCATAAATTAAATGATCATTTAAATGAACTCCTAACTTCTTGTATAAGTTAACAAAAAGAAAAAAAATCTTCGAAATAAATTTACAATCTTCTTTCGTTATCATTTTGATTGCTAGGTAATTCTGGTAACTCTATGAAATGAACTCAACTTTGAGCATAACTGGCGCCAAGACTAAATGAACATATTTTCTCACCAGCATGGCTTCATCTCACTCTCTGGCCGGCTACTTTTTTTTTACGATTTCGACCATGAAATTGAAAGTTCGATTTCACGCTGTTTACTGCTGATACGAACCATAACCGATAGCATCGCATCAATCCAATCCCGTAAGGATCTGCTCTAAGCTCCAGGCAGTGCGTGAATCAAGTGTACATAAGAATGAAAGACGCTAGGTGCAAGTGTTGAGCTCAATGATGTCCGCCAGCACAACTGAATCAGTTTCGATGTATTTGTCGGTGGCGAGTAGCTTTGAGTATCTACATCTGACACTGAGCCTTGTTGGTTGTTATTACACGTCGGTACAGTTGGGATTTTTAGCCGCGCTGCCATGGCATTTCATTGCTCTGGTTGCTTTGTGGCGCATATTTTTTTTCCGCTGACTGACATTCGAATCAAATTCCTAGGAGACATTAGGTTCTTTCTCCATTTAATATCCTTGAGGCTACTGTCTGTTCTGTGCAATATTTAAGTGGTTGGTTGATTTTTCCTTCAGTAATATTTTGCCCAGCTGTATTGTGTGTCTTTTCGCAATTCGTAAACGATGGTTCTTGTGGGATAGGTTTTCTCATTTGGAACACATAAATGAACATATTTCAGCTGCCGTTATGAGAGATATCTCTTAAAGGACTTTTCCATTCTTAGAAATCATCTTCTTTTTCGCATTCAAAGCTTATTGCTTATCGCATATTAGCTTATTGCGTGCTCTCAACTTAGTGTTCTATAGATGCACTTCAAAGGTTATTAACTGAGAGCTTTCTACACCTGTACCATTTGTGCATTAGTATAATTGTGAGGCAAGTGCAATTATTCTCTATGCCCAGGGAAGTCGAGAAATTTTCCAACCTGACAAATGCCTAGACCGGACCGGTTGAATTGAACCCAGTCATCTTCAGCATGGTCTTGCTTTGTAGCTGCGCCTTTACCGACGGAGCGAAGGAAGGCCCTATTCTTAGATATACTGTTCGCAAATGCCATAGTCTTAATGATTTCCAAGAAGGTTGATTTTCTTTTCCTATACTGTGTTATGTGGCCATGTTTTGACGCGAAGGCACAGCGCGAATTCAAATATTGATTCATATGATTCATATTATACCAACAGTCTTCCATAGAATAATGATGGAATAACTTGAAAATGGTTAATAATTGTGCGAAAGTCTTAGTTTTGATGGTGACTTTAATTTAGCATGAGGACTTCCTAGTCAGTATAATTCAGGGTGGTCACTGAATCGGGGAAACCGTGGTTATCCGTGATTTTAATG